AGAGTGCCTCAATGATGTTACAGAGCAAAAATACTTAGACAAGGGACAGGTGACAAGGGCTAATGGGATGCCAATGGCGTTGATAGGGCTATTGTAACCAGATGCGGGAAAAGAAAGGAGAAAAGAAAAGAAACATGGGTGCTTCAACCTGTGCAAGCAGGTTAGGTCAGCATGAACCAAATAATGGTGGCCATCTAGTAACAAATACATCAGAAGTAATGGACTGGATGGTAGCAAATACATCAGAAGTAATGGACTGGATGGTAGTTGTGCAAACCACTGGAAGGCTGGAACCTCAACTAGAGGAGACTGCTAATACAAAAGAAAAGCTATTCCACACATGCCAAAAGTGAGACAAAGAACAGTCAAATACGGTTGCAATGACTCAATTGGCAGCAGAGGATGAATATGAATGGAATAGAAACAGAATGGCAACAACAGCTACCATTACCTCTGCTTAGAACATTATATTTCTGCCTAACCTGGAAACTACCCTCGATACAGATATAACGACCTACGAGTCGAGGAAAATATGATCCGACCTAGTGGATAATCAAATGGTCTGCAGTGGCTCAGTTGATCCAAAGTGGGAGCAGAGTGGGATGGGAACAGAAGAGCCACTGGGATATGAAACTGTCATCTTACTTCTTTTTTTCCCATTTTCTTAAAAAAACTAAGCTATATATTCTTCGCTCAATTTCACCTTTCACTCTCTACCTACCACTACTCCTAAGCCTATACAGGGGACACCTGCAAGCATAGCTACCTCTCACAATCAAGGGGATGCATGTTGGCCCCCTAATCGGCGGCGGTTAGTAAGTAGGGTGGGGCCACTGGTGGGAGGGGCCGGCTAACGCAAAGACCGAGCATTTTACCAGTGGCTGCGCCTCCCATCTACTTCCCCCAGGGCGAGTGTTGGCCATAGCCATCTTACATTTAAACCACCAATACTTCCTAGGGTCGTGACCGTAAACTCACTACAGAAGCGCCCAAATTCAACCGACTAGAAATTTATCTGTGGCCGATAGCTGGGCCAAGTACTGGTGGTTTGTTTAACTCCCCTTACATCTTAGGTTTGCTGGTTTCCTAAAGCAGTTGTGATGCTCCTCGCAACAGCATTAGAGCTATGTAAGGAGGGAGAAATGCAGGGGGGAACTTTTGGGCAGCTTTACACCTGCTATGCCAGCAAGGAGGAGGCCGGAACACAACAAAAACAGAAGAGTGCCTCTTCTCCCGATCTGTTCTGAAATTGAACAGGCTTGAGATTTCCACTTTTCCAATTCTTCCTTCCTTTTCCCTTCATCTACGTCCCGGGAGGCAAATATGTTCTGTGTACACCGAAACTAACTGGACATTTTTTGTCCAGAACTGGCTCGCAAAGTGAAGGAACTTGAACCCGGAAGGAGATCTCTCTTCCATTCATAAAAATGAAGCTCCTCAGCACAGACAAAAATATAGACCGTGGCCATCTATCAAACCCGATGAAACATGCTGAGATCTAACTCTACAGGCGAAATCACGTCCATTATGGCTCCCAGATCCTCAGCTTACCAGTACATTCAGAAAACAAAAAAAGTTGTTACAAGGGGGCTACCGGTAGTTTTTTGAGGAAAACATCTGTTTTCTTGAAATCTCAAAAACACCATGAGGCCAGGGTCCTTACAGTCTACCCGGAAAAATAATGGGACCATTACCAAGCTTCAATTAATCAGTACTGTGACGCCCAACCTCACACCCAACGCGACTTCCTGATCGGAGTGGGATGGGGGCCCGGAAGTGCGAAAAAGGGGTGTGCCAAGGATTTTAGGAAAGTGGGGGTGGAGTCCCAGGTCGGAACTGAGATCTCTTGTGGCAAGTTTTGGGGGTATAGGCACAAAGAGAGTGTGCACAGAAGGGAAGCTGCTGATGTCGTGCAGCATAAGGCAGATGGCATGCGCAGTGCATCTCAGGCTAAAGATCCGGGGCACTTTTCCACGATCACAGTACCGACCGATCTAAACACTCTTGCATTCTCGAACAAAATCCCAACAACCTTGCCCCTGCCAACGAACTCAACTTTCAAGCCTAAAAGAAATGGGAATCACCATCTCCTCTGGTTTTGCCTTCGTGGCCGATTGCGCGGCTCGTTCAGTTGTTGGCACCCCTCGACTTCGGTGCGGGTTCGCCGAGCGAATTCCGAGGCTTGATAGGCCTGGCGCCACCAACACTTTTCGCACGGTATGCGGGGCCAATAGCGGGCTATGGAATTCCACGGCACCACCGTGAGTTGGTGATATGGAAGGAGGAGGTGGAATGAAAGGAAACTGGTAGTAATAACGACGAAACCGGGGGATATGAAGTACTACGTGTTATAAGTATCCGGATAATCAGGGCCCCTAGGATCGTTAGTTATGGCACAGTGAAAGTCCTTCGCACACGATCGATGGCTTTCTGTCAGACAAGGGAATTTTGAATTTCCCCCACCGTCTGAGTTGTTCACCTTCCCAGTATTCGCGGTATTCCGGGTCCCTCAGACTCTCACGATCGGACATCGAAGAGGGGAATTCCGCAGCCATATCCGTTTAGAAAGTTCGGTCCCCTGCATCCTCATACAGAGTTCCAAGTTGACTCACGCAGGCGAGCGCGTATGTAGCGACTCGGTTTCCTCGAGATTGCGGTTGTATGCGAGCGTGCACGTGAGAAACAGCGGGTTGGTTCAGCGTCTCGATCACATTCAGCATGCATGCGGATATCCTATCCCTGCGGCGTCGGGTGAGATCCGATCATTACATATCATACATGTAACAAAAAGGAGGAAAGAAGAGAAAGGATCGTCAACTTCTACACTCTTGTCGATCGAAAGTAATCGACCAAACCCAAACATCCATAATCGAGCGCTTTCAATTATATATGAGCGTATGGCTCACGCAAGTGATCAGTAGACAGAGTCGAAACGGACATCGCAAAACAAGATTGAAAATCTGAAAGGATCGCTAATAAAGGGGACTCACATTCATTCCATGCATACATACAAAATACAAACGACAAGGAAATCCGAGACGATTTACAAAAAGAAGTCCAAAAAGAAGGCTGCGATAAAATCGACCATATCCGGATCGAAAATTATACAGAGGAACAAAGGAAAAAAAAGGAACGACGAAAAGAACCTTATCCCACACCCACACAACTGCTCTCTCTCTCTCTCTCTCTCTCTCTCTCTCTCTCTCTCTCTCTCTCTCTCTCTCT